TTTAGCAGTGGTTGTTGTGTAAACTGAGGCCTAGTTCATGTGTGTCGGCGGCAGAACAGGCGGCTTCTCGAGTTTTGGAAACCTGCCGTATGTGAAAACGAAAACCCTGCAAAAAGAAAACAAGCGAAGACAGGAGGTAGAACCTTCCTTCCTGTTTGCTACTTTAGTCTTTACATGGAGGTCGTGTGTGTTTTAACACAAAAGGAATACTGAAAGCTGGACTCTACCAATAGCAGTCTGAACGGAACACTTTTGCCACTTAAATCTACTGCATGTGTAAACCAGGCCTTATTTTGTTGTTGTTAGCCATTCAGTGGTGAAACACTAGCAGAGCAGGCAGAGAGTCTTTACCCAGCCCTTTGCTTTGCTTAGATCAAGATGGGTAGCTGTGTTAGTCTATCTTTAGCAGTAGCTTGTTTGTAGCTTGCACAGCTTATTTTTAAGGGGGGAAAGTCATGTCTCAACGAAGTAGAATGAGGTCATAGAATCATGCAGTGGTAGAATGGACTTCTGACAGGATTCTGCACTTGTGAATATCATTTCTTGTAAAAACAATGCATAAAAGGGCTACCACACAATGCATAAAAGAGCAGAAATCTGTCCAATGTCACTTTAAAAATTAACAAAATTGATTCCAGCATAAGCTTTTGTGAACATTCACAACAGAACAGTGAATCAATCTAATAGATGTATACTTCAGTGATTCTGATGAAGTGAGCTCTGACTCACAATGTTTTTTCGTCTTTAAGGTGCTCCTGGATTTGTTTTATTTTGCTACTTTTGTTGTTGTTGTTCAGTTGCACAGTCGAGTCCAATTCTTCGCAACCCCATGGACCACATCACGCTAGGCCCTCCTGTCTTCCATCGTGCTCCGAAGTTTGCTTAATTTCATGTTCGTTGCCTCGATAACACTGTCTAACCATCTCATCCTTTGCCGTCCCCTTCTTCTTTGACCTTCAGTCTTTCCCAGCATCAGGGTCTTCTCCAGTGAGCACTCCCTTCTCATTTGGTGGCCAAAGTATTTGAGCTTCAGCTTCAGTATCTGGCCTTCCAGGGAACAGTTAGGGTTGATTTCTTTGAGGATTCACTGATTTGATCTCCTTGCAGTACAAGACATTCTCAAGAGTCTTCTCCAGCACCATTATTCAAAAGAATCTATTCTTCGGCACTCGGCCTTCCTTATAGTCCAACTCTCACAGCCATACATTACTACAGAATAACAAAACTACAGGATAGTACAGAAGACTACACAATTACTACAGAATAACAAGACTACACATCTGGAATTATCACAATGGATAAAGGTTCTACCCCAGTCTGCTAGCTACACTGCTAGTTTTCTGCTTCTAGAAACAGAGAAAATAAACAGAAGCTCAGTGACATTTTGAAGACTAACAACATTTTATTTCAACATCAGCTTCGGTAGACTAGAGTTCACTTACTCAGATTCATTGAGTGAATTCTCACTATATAGTATTTTTATGTGGATGCAGGGTAAAAAAATGCACACTCAGAGATCAGGGACAAGGGTCCATTACATCTCAACCTTGGGATTCCCCACTGAGTTTAGGAATTAAATGCCTTCAACTGCAGTCCTCAGGACATAAGAAGATCCCTGCTGGATCAGACTAGTGATCCATCTAGTCCAGCATCCTGCTTTACTCAGGTGCCAACTGTTTGGTGTGGAGGGTCAATAAATATGGCACAGAGGCCAAGGTCTTCCTCTGATGTTGTCTCCTAGCACTGGTAATCAGAGGTTTGCTGACTCAGAATGTGGAGATATCTTTTATTCAACACTGAGAACAAGAAATGCCAGATGTTCAAGCTGAATTGGCACTAGAGATCATACTGCAAATTTGTGTTGGTGACTAGAACATACAAGAGAATTTCAGAAGAAAATCACCTTGTGTTTCATCGATTACATCAAAAGTTTTGACAGTGTGAATCATGAAAAGTTATGGTTGGTTTTTAAAGAATTGGGTGTGCCACAGAATCTGATTGTTTTGATGCGCAATCTGTATTTCTGGACAAGAGGCTACTATTAGGACAGAATATGGAGAAACAGAATGGTTTCCAATTGGCAAAGGTGTCAGACAAGGATGTATTTTATCTCCCTATCTCTTCAATATATATGCAGAACATACCATAAGGAAAACTGGATTAGATTTAGATGAAGGTGGAGTGAAAATTGGTGGAAGAACATTGTGCAGATGACCTGAAACGACTACTGAACATTGTGTGAAAACCTGAAATGACTACTGCTGGTTGTTAAAGCAGAAAGTGCCAAAGCAGGATTACATCTGAACATCAAGAAGACAAAAGTAATGACTACAACTCTAAGGCTGACAAAGAAATTGAAACTGTACAAGATTTTCTATTTTTTGGCTCCATCATCAACCAAAAAGGGAGGCTGCAACCAAGAACTCAAGAAACTGAGACCCCATAATTCAATCCCAAGGGTAGCCATGAAGAAGCTAGAACAGGTTTTTGAGTGTAAGGATGTGTTGCTGGCAACCAAGATCAAGATAATTCGTACCATAGTATTTGCCTTTTTTATGTATAGGTGTGAAAGTTGGATAATGAAGAAAGCTGACAGGAAGAAATACAAATAAGTGGGTTCTAGATCAAATTAAGCCTGAACTCTCCCTAGAAGCTAGAATGACTAAACTGAGGCCATTTTGGTCACATCACGAGATGACAAGAGTCACTGGAAAACAGTAATGCTAGGAAAAGTGGAAGGCAGCAGGAAAAAACGAAGACCCAACATGAGATAAGAATCAATGGAGGAAGGATGTTTGTAGATCATTAATTCATATGGTCACCATATGTCAGTAGCAACTTGATGGCACTTTAAACACACATGCAGTATTCATTGATTGGCCAGTCCTGGCAGTATCCTGAGACACTTTCCTGTGAATAAGCCCCACTGAATTACACAGGACTTATTCCTGAGTGGAGCTGCGGTGGCTCAAGTGGTTATGATGCTGAACTGCAGGCTGTGGAAGGTCGGTAGTTCAGCAGTTCGAGACCCAAGTGTGCCGCATGATGGAGTGAGCTCCCGTCTCTAGTTCCAGCTCCTGCCAACCTAGCAGTTCGAAAGTAAGAAATTGCAAGTAGATAAATAGGTACCACTTCAGTGGGAAGGTAACAGCATTCCGTGCACCTTGGTGTTTAGTCATGCTGGCCACATGACCATGGAAACGTCTTCAGACAGTGCTGGCTCTTCGGCTTTGAAACAGAGATGAGCCCTGCAACCCTAGAGTCGGATTCGACTGGCTTTCGAGCAAGGGAACCTTTACCTTTATTCCTGAGTAGACCCATTTAGGGTTAGTCCCTTGATTAGATGTTAATTTTACCCGGTACTTCCTGCATTTCCCCCCCATGGGTCCCTTGACCTGCTGTTTGCGTTTTCATACCTCTCATAAAGTCAACAGAACAAGGAGGCCCTCAACATTTTTTTGGGGGGGCGGGGGGGAGTCTCTAGGTCCACGTAAATTTATACTTGGAATGAAATGCTCTTAGTCCGTAGTTTTTGCTGCCGCGGGCTAACACGGCCACCCCTTTGGAATTAGTATAAACGGGATTTTTCTATTCCGCTACCTCTTTAGTGTTTCTATAACGAGCTCACTGCAAGGCGCAGCACGACTTCTCTGGATCTTTCTCGCAGCGCAGCCGCCCCTGAAGGAAAGAGGAGGGGCCCCGCCACGATTGCGCCCGCCCCTCGCTTAATCGGGCACAGAGGAAGGAAACTGCTGCTGGCGCTTTCTGCCGATCGCAGCCGGCTCCGGCTCCTCCGGGTTTTCTCGCCGGCCCCATGGCTCCTGCGTCGCGGATCTCGGACCTGCGGCAGGCGGGGAACGAACAGTTCCGCAACGGGCAGTACGGGCAGGCGGCTGCGTTGTATGGCCGGGCGCTGGAGCTGCTGGAAACCACAGGTACTGGCGACGGAGGGAGAATCCCAGCAAGGCCTCAGTAGGTCGGGTTGGGGGGAGACCGGAGGGAAAGGGACCCCGGGGGGGTGGTGGTGTCTGGGGGCTCCCTAGTTACAGCACTCCTGTATTCAGCGTTTTCCTATTTGGAGAAAAACTCAAGTGTTCGTCTCCCCGCTGCCAGTGTTTTTGGAAGTCGGAGGTTAACTACCATAAATGGATCACCTGCCTCAAATTCATTTATATGAGAAACTCCGGATCTCATAGATGAATCTGGTGGCTTATCTAGCTCCATCTGTTATTATGGAAGAGTGTGTTGGAAAACTGCCCCCTCTCCATTATAATTTGTCACTTCCTGCTCTTGTATTTTATCTACCTACACCACAGCATTGTGAAGAGCAGGCCAGTGGCCCATCTTGTCCAGCATCCTGCTTCACAGAGTGGCCAGCCAGTTGCCCTGGAGGGCCTGCAAGCAGGCCATAGAAGCCCAGGCCTTCATGGGTCCACAGTTTCTAGCACTGGTATCCAGAGACTTGCTGCCCCTGGCTGAGAAGGCTCCTTTTAGTCATCATGCACAGTTATCACATTTAATTTGTCAAGGCTGAGTAATGATCATACTCAAAAAGTTCCTGTGAGGTTACTAGCCCCATTTAATGGGTGTGAACTGTGAGTGAGAGAAAAATGACTAGTCCACCAGTTCCTGACGAGAGACGGATTCATTAGCAGGATATGCTGTATACTTGATACTCCCTGTTTAATTCCCATCCTCTTTAAGTTTAATAGAGCATAAAAGTCAGAAAGATCTTTGCCTGAGAGACTGATCAGGTATAGTAGGTAGCTGTGAGCTAGATGAAGCACTGATCTGGTTTGGTACTAGGCCACCTGTTGTATCCCAACTCAGATTTTCCAGTTTAGGTCTGGCTTGTATAGGGGCTCACATTGCTCTGGTTGTTTTAAGTCTCCTTAAACAGACACACACAACACTTCTGTGCTCGTTAAAAACATTTTTGTGTGTGTGTGTTGTGAGGCTGAATCCTGGCTTGAGGATTCTGAAGTGTGTTGTTTATATATTGCTCTGCCCCAAAGAGTTTATAATCTAAAACTTGCTATAAGGAAGACAGGGAGGGAAGGTGGAAATAAAACATGGGGTAAGTATGTATTTGTTTTTGCTCCATGTACTTAGGTTTAGCTTCAAGCAGAGGACGGGGAGGCACAGAGACAGCCCAACCGGATGCCCTCAAGACTCCATGCATTTGGGAACCCAGAATAGGTTAAAAACAGTACCTGATGGCAGAATAGAAAAACTCCATCCCATTAGCTGGTTTTGGGCACTCTAGACTTTCACCAGCTCTTTAGGTAGGGTAGAGATGCTTTATGGTCCTCTGGTTTCATAGGGAACCAGCCTTCTTTGTCACACAACTACATATTCCTGGAATTGTCATGGAGTGCAGTACACCAAATGTGGTAGAGTACAGTGGATGTACAAGTGGAAGATGTTCAGGTCTTCATGATTGCCCAGATTTAACTTACTGGTGACCTTTGAAACCTCCTCCACAGCCTTAGACTTATTATGTCAGCAGGCTGTCTGCTGTAGTCATTGTGTCATAATGAGGGAGTTTGGGTTAGCAGCAGAAAATAGATGCAGGTTTGGCAGCCAGCCGGCTGGCTGGCTAGCTAATCCACTTTCTGTTTCTTTTCTTCTGTGTGCTTCTGGTTTGAATTGAGAGGGGCGGAGGCTGACTAAAGCTATCTCCTGTTTCATTTCTTTTCCATGCATTCCTCTTGGACTTAAGGTGAGGGATGGAAGCTCATTTTACCACTTTTTCATTTGGGCTATCTTCCCCCATCTTCCTGCATATTTCTCAGCCTGTGGTTTTTGTTTAACATGAAGGACCAAAGAGCTTGTAATGGGGGACAGAAGAGAGGACCTTGGACGTCTTACTTGAAATGTAGTGGTGCTCTGCAGAGAGCTGTGGGCCTGTTATATGAAATAGGAGTTGCTTCTTGAAGAACAAACCTTGTCAGGGTGAGGGACAGGAATACGAAACGATTTGTAGAGTTTTGGAGTAGGGCACTATTTAGAAAGGAATATCTAAGATTGTGGTATCTTAAAGGTTTTCCTCCTTAGTTTTGAGCACCAGAATAATCTAGCGGTTTGTGACAGGATTTTTGCATACATTAATATGAGTAGTGAATACAAAAGACATTCTCTGCCTGTAAAGAATAAAGGGGTGTGTTATGTTCCACTGGAAAACCGCACACAAGTAACAATTCGGTTGGTGTTCTCAGGAATGATAAAGTAAGAACATGGCAAAAATCAACTTCCTCCTTTACAGGCCTCAAATGTACCTTGTTCTCGGATACCTATATTGATTTTACAAGGAAACTCTTAAGAAGCACTCTAAACTAACCATTAGAAAATTTAAGATAAATAATGCAGTGCCAGCGTGTGGTAGTGGATTGAATTTGGGGCTTTAATTGGGAAGTCCTGGCTCCAGTCTCCTTTTGAAGACATCTATTTTGTCAGAAATCCTACACACTGTTAACTGAGAAATAACCCCTACTGAGCTCAGTGGACTGAGAAATTGTGCTTAAAATTGTACTGTTGGTACCTGATCACTGCCTTTCCACCTAAGCTATGATTAAGAGAAGGCTAAAGGTCTAGACAGGAGGGCCTGGCATGATGTGGTCCATGAGGTCGCGAAGAGTCGGACTTGACTGTGCGAATGAACAACAACAAAAGTAAACAACTGAAGCACAAGGGGAAAAATCAGGGCTGTACATAAGGATGAAAATTAATATTCTCGTGGTGGTACAGAAAAAGTGGGTTAAGCATTGCTAATAAAGCACCCATTTTCTTCCCTAGTTGTGACTTCAGCCTGCCATCATAGTTACTGGGCTTTGAAGATTTTAATAAGCAGCAAGAGCCACCTGATGGAGCCACCTTTGCTACCACTGAAGATACTGGTCCACCACAGATACCCATATTCGGTTACATTTTGGCTGCCTTTGAAGACTACTCAGAATGTTGCAGCAGATTGTTTAGGAATCTCCTGTAATGAACATATTTTACCTGTACTGAAAGATTAGCACTTGCTGCCATCTGCCTGTTTGCTTCCAGATGCAATCCAGAGTGCTGGTTTTATCCCATAAACCAGCTTTAGGCTAAGGGACTCTGTTGAACTGCCTATTCCCACATCAGCCTGTCCATTCCCTTAGATCTCTGTTAGAGTCTGCTCCCATTTGCCACCAGAGGCGAAGTTGTGGGTAACTAGGGGTCTTTTCCATGGGACCACTGAACTTCTGGAATGCTCTGCCAAAAGATGTTTGCCTGCTGCCAGCATAGGAATCAGTTCTGTTTTCTAGGGGCTTTAGCGCATTCTCACCTTGATTATTTTTCACAATTATGGACAGGCCAGTGACAGACTCTCAGCCTAACCTACCTCTAAGGGTTTGTTATGAGGATAAAATGGAGAAGAGAACGCTGTAAGTCGCTTTGGGTCCCCATTGCAGGGAAAGGTGGGGTATATTTGAAACAAATATATGAATAGTATTTATCCCTGTCTAGAATATGTTTATCCTGCCTTCATCCAAGGAGCTCAAGGTGGCATACGTGGTTCCCTTATCCATTTCATCCTTTCAGCAGCCTGTGCAGCATAATAGCCTGGGTGACTAACCCGGTATCACCAGCAGATTTTCCGATAGAATGGGGATTTGAATCCAGGTCTCCCAGGTCCTAGTCTGATACTCCAACCACTATACCACACTGGCTTCTGCAGGCTTGTTCTGTAGGTTTTTAGCTTTTGAATTACGGTATTGTATATAATAACAGTTTTATTTAAAGGACAGACATTTTTGCATTGTTAAAGTGCCTTGGTAATAGGAGGAAGGTGGGGTAGGAATCTTTGAGTTGCCTCACACTCAGAGCCTGTCTTACTGTCTGTTGGCCCAGGAGGTGCTTCTGCAGAAGAGAAGAGTGTGCTTCATTCCAACCGTGCTGCCTGTTACTTGAAGGATGGGAACTGCAGTCTCTGCATTAAGGACTGTTCTGTGTAAGTAATGCTTGTTTGGAGGGGAGGAGGACACACGGCTGGTGCACTACTTTCTGGATTCACTTGTTAATTTACAGCGCTTTACAGGGAAGCAGCTGATTCTGCTAACTTAGAATCACGAAGGATGCTGTCCCTTTAGGCAGGGAAGGCCAGAAAAGACTGAACCACCATCTCACCTTTTCTGCTGTCCTGGGAAGGAGAGACCTTCAGTTTATCAAAGTCTGAGCAGTCGCTTCTTGCCAGGAGGGAAGGGGTCATGTTGTTGGGTTGAGGTTCTCTTCTGGTGTTCATTCTTAAGTTGCTGATCTTCCCTAATCATTGGAAGAAGGAAGAGCAGGGAAGATTGGCTGCTTCATCTATAACATAGGAAGTGACCCACATGTTCACCCACCCACCCACCCAGAAGCATGATCTCATCTCTATGGCAAGAAACTTCTGCAGTGAGTTGGACATACTGAGGGTTTCTCTCTTTCCTGAGACCACAAGGAGCAAGTCAGCACACTTTGGCCCTTTTTAGGCTCTAACTGTTCATAAAATAATCTAATATTTATTTATTATATTTCTGTAACTTTTTTCCTTGTTGCTCAAAGCAGTTTACAGTAAAAACATTAATTAAAATTAATTAAAACCTACCTTACAGGGCGTCTGTTGTGGAGAGGGGAAGGGAAAGGAGTTTGTAAGGCGCTCTGAGACACCTTTGGGTAGTGAAGTGTGGGATATAAATCCAATCTCCTCTTCTTTAAAACCAGCCTGCAACCTGACATGTTAAAACATTACCATACTTAAACACCCTTCAGGGGCATAGACTTTCCAATTTCCTGGGGGGCGGGCCTGTGCTCTCTGGGACCGCCCTCCTTCCCGCGGCAGGTGGACAAAGCCGGGTCACTGTCCGTGTCCGCCGCTGGCCATCCAGTGGGGTGGGGGTCACTGCAGCAGCTGAGGAGGGTCTGTTTGTGGCTCGGCCGGGAGGCTGCAATTGGCGGATGGAGCAAGCCTAACCTGGGCTGAAACCTGATCCGCGAGGGCTGACTGGGCTGGTTGGAAGGCGCTCCTGCACAGCCCTTCCTGTGCTCAGCTGCGCCACGCCCTCTCCCTCGCCTTGGCGCGGCCCCCTGACTGGCCAATCGTGAGTGGCGCTGCGCCTCCCGCTCCTCCTGGCTCTTATGAGTTGCGATTGCAATGTGGGCCCTGTGCCCCCCCCGCTGCCACGCACGCACTCACTCAGGCTGAGGAGAGAAAGGCGCCAGGCACAAGCTCAGAGGCCCAGGGGCTCTTGGGAGGAGGGGCACCTGATCTGCACCAGGGCATGCCACCCTTTAAATGGATCCAAACAGCCCCCCCGGGGGGGAGAGGGCCCAAGCCTGCTCTGCCATTTCTGTGTGGGGTGTTGTTGTTTTCTGTAAAATTGGTGCACCCAGCAACCCTACCGGGGGGGGGCCTCAGTATTCCCTGAAAAATTTTGAGGGACCCCTCAGCTCCCCAGCCCCCCTGTAGATTACGCCTATGATAAAATCAAGTCATGAAAAAGCCTTACTTCAACTTGTATCCCATTCCATAAGGAGAGAGCCACCATAGAAAGCACTCTTGCCTGTGCATATGCGAATCTTGCTTCCTTTAAAGAAGAGGAAGAAAGCAAAAGGTTATATTGTTCAGTGTTCTACTACTTATTTTGACACTAAGTTTACACTGCTGTTTTTGGTTTCTGTTTGCTGCTTTGGCTTGGTTTTTATTGCCAGGATTAACAAGTGCTGGTAAACAATTTACATTGTTGTGATGGTTTTTAATTATTTCTTGTGTGGTCTCTAAAAAGCCATTCAGCTGAGAGTGCAAATGAAAAATGATTGAAATAGATTAATGGGAAAGGGAGAGGCCTCCTGAGTGGAAACAGGTGGAGCAGGCATAAGGTGTAGGTGAACATGTGGCCTGTCTCTACTGAAAAATATTTGGCAACAGGGTGAGGCAAATGGTCTCTTTGTGGTAGTTCATTCACACTTCCCCTTATTCTTTATGGCTCAGCTATTTGAGTAAAACTATCCCAGATAATAATGATCAGCCCCTTTGTCAGTTTTTAAGAAAATTGCTGAATGTACCATGTTGTGTCTCAAGTGTTGTACTATGGGCGTATTTTGGTCAAAGGTCTCTGGAAGCAAGAGCATGGCGTTATGCCTTTAATCTGAGATTAAAAGTGTTTTTGCTTCCTTTACTAGTGGTTTACTAGCTGCCTTGAAATGGGTCGCTTTTGGATCGGCTGAAAGCTATCAATGAGAAACTGCCTCTAGTCAGTATGATGGTCTACTTTTATCACTGACATGGGTAAAACAAAAGCTTATCTGATTAACCACCAACTTGCGATGACCAGGGCTAGGGCATTTTCGGTGGCGGCTCCTATCTGGTGGAATGAGCTCCCAGGGGAGATCTGGGCTCTGCGGGACCTAGTACAGTTCCGCAGGGCCTGTAAGACGGAGCTCTTCCACCAGGCTTTCGAATAGGAGCCGCCACCATCACTGCTCCACCAACGCCCTATGATTTTCGCATATTGCTACCGCTGGTGCGGGCACTATTGGCGGGAACGGGACGTTTTTAGGGGACGGCAGGGCAGTGGGATATGCACTGCTGTGATTGTCTAGCTATGCCATTGAGAACACCATCTTGGTTTAAAATCTTAACATCTGGAATTGAATGGGGGAGCACCGAAAATGTTTTTATGATGTCTATTTAATTGTTTTCAATTGTCGATTTGTAATTTAACATTTTATATTGTTTTATTGTTACTATTTGGCATTGTGCCCTGTTAGCTGCCCTGAGCCTTCGGGGAGGGTGGGATAGAAATCCAAATAAATAAATAAAATAAAAGGCAAGTCTTAGAAACTGATAATGGAAGATTGTTATTCAGAGCTCATCAGGTTTGTTCACCCCTGCCCTTCGGTATTTCTCTTTGGAAGTCTTTACCACCTTATATGTATCTTGCAGTGCCTAACATGTATGGAGATTTATCCTGCAGAGCAGTGGCAACACTGTCACCAATGATAGGGGCCCCTTTGAGATTTCCTTCTCATTCTTGTGATAAAAGGACAGAAGCCACAGAGATATATAAAATCATAACTGATAGACTATCAGCTAGACATCTTTGTGATAGGAAATTTTCCCCTTTGGAGGAATTAAACAAGCAGATTGTTCTGGTGCTAGAAAAGAGCAAGAGTCCAGTATCACCTTAAAGACTAACAAACTATGTGGCAGGGTATGAGCTATTACCCCCTCCGCATATCTCACCTAAATCCAGTTACACCTGCTATTGTTATTCACCTGCTAATGTCATTTGGCACTTTCCAATAAACAGGACAGATGGACTCCCATTCTAGCTGTATCTGAAGAAGTGAGCAGTGACTCATAGAAGCTCATATACCCTGCCTCATATTTTGTTAATCTTTAAGGTGCTACTGGATTCTTGCTCTTTTTTACTGCTACAGACAGACTACCATGGCTACTCATCTTGTTCAAGTGCTGTTTTTTAATCTCATCTACTAGATGTATTATTTTACAGAACTAGAGTGGGCTGAATTCTAGTTTATATGAACATACCTCTTTGAATGCAGGGGCCTCCTCAGGTAGCACCATTTGACATACAGGTGCAGATGAATCAAAGATATATTCTTTCACTTTTGAACTCTCCTTGCAGTATCGGCTCCTGGGTGGGCTCCATTGGGCAGTCTAGTCTAAACCACACTGCCTAGTAGAGCTTGTGGGGAGAACTCCTGGGTGGGCTCCGTTAGGCAGTCTGGTCTAAACCAGGCTGCCCAGCAGATCCAGCAGGGAGAACTCTCCCTGCGGGATCAGCTCCTGGGTGGGCTTTGTTAGCCAGTCCAGTCTAAACCAGGCTGCTCAGCAGAGCCCCAGCCAAGCCTGCAGGGAGACGTCTTTCTTCCTGCAGGATCAGCTGCTTGGCGAGCTCTTTTGGGCAGTCCAGTTTAAAGGGACCACCCAAAAGAGCCCCAACTGAGCTGCTTCTCAGCTGTTTTTAGCAGCTTTACCGCTGCTTTTTTCCTCTCAGTGTTTTTTAGTTTCGGTCTGTTGGACCTGAAAAAATTCGGGATTTCCTGAAAATTCCAGATCTGAATACTGGTATTGGGGTCTGGGGTTTTTTGGGATCACATTTTTTTTTTCTGGATCCAATAGACACAAACCAAAACATACTGAGGAAAAAAATTGCACACCCTTACTTTATTTTGAAGCAATGATTGTCTCCCCGCTTTGTTGAAGTGTAGCACAGTGTGGTAGCTCTACCTAGTCCAAGAGAAATGTACACTGTTCAGACAATCAGATGTCCGGACGAATTTCCACTAACCTGACTTTGTAGCTTCTGCAGCTTAACTTGTTCTGTTTTTGTTTTTTTGCTTGCTTCTCCACTGATTTTAGTGCCTTGGATCTGGTTCCTTTTGCAATCAAACCCCTGCTGAGGCGGGCAGCAGCCTATGAAGCGCTGGAGAGATACCAGTTAGCCTATGTGGACTACAAAACTGTGTTACAAGTTGACTGTACTGTACAGGCTGCACATGATGGAGTCAACAGGTAATTTCTTGCTTTGCTTTGTTAAAGGAGCTCTCAGGAAAACTTGAAATGAATTCACTGTATGTAGATAAAATGTTTTTCCCAGATCCTAAACAGCTAACTTGTAGCTTGGTAAATTAAGATTCGATCTGCCTCCACTAAAGTCAGTATAAATTTTGTCCATTGTAGGCTAGGACTAGGAAGGGAACATCTTTGGTGTAGTGATTAAGAGCGGCAGACTCTAATCTGGAGAACTGGGTTTGATTCCCCACTCCTCCACATGCAGCCAGCTGGGTGACTTTGGGTCAGTCACAGTTCTCTCAGAGCCGTTCTCCCAAGAGCAGTTCTCTCAGCACTCTCTCAGCCCCATTTACCTCACAGGGTGTCTGTTGTGGGGAGAGGAAGGGAAGGAGATATTGTAAGCTGCTCTGAGTCTCCAAGTGAAGGGCAGGGTATAAATCTAATATCCTCTTCTCTGGGGTCGGTGCATTTCTGATATGAAACAGGATGTTACTGTCTCCATAAGGTCCCAATAGTTAGTTTTGCAGAAGCAACTGGATGCTCAGTATTGAGATAAAGGGACTGGACTGGAGGCACCTGATGCAACAAGATGGATCTTACCCAGCAAGGCAATTCTTGTCTCCTAGCTACTCTAAATTAACAGGTTTCATTATTTTACCAAGGTAAGTCTGTACCCCTTTTTTGTTGCAGAGATGTAAAATGAAAGGCATGTATCTGCCATAAAAGGGGCTATTGACTTGCTTTTAAAAATGAAAGCTGGGCAATTCAGAGGAAAGAACAGAGAGATCATTATAATGTTACAGGTGGGGAACCCATGAGGACTTCAGTGGATGCAACTCTCCTTAGGATTGCAGTGCAAGAGAATTACATAATAATCATCGAAGGTCTGTCCAGCCAGAGTACGGTTTTTGAGCACTTAGCAGATATTGCATCATTTGGGCTGAGGAAGGTGAAAGCATTCAGACAAGCCAGCTGAACTCTGGGAATTTCATCACTCCGTTGTACACTGTAAGGAAGCCTGTACATAGCTGTTTCAGTACTTCTAATTACTAGTGAGTTGGAGGATATTCAGTGGAGAAAGCACTTGGCTGTCTTGTATGACATCACACTTGGACACACAACTGAAGAGGCATACTAACTGCATTGGGTAGCCTATTTCAGCAAAAATTGCTGTGTCAGAAGAGAACCGTATAAACAAATAGATCTCCTTTTTCAGAATGACCAAGGTCTTACTGGAAAGGGATGGCCTCCAGTGGCGCCAGAAACTGCCACCCATCCCAAGTGTTCCTGTTTCTGCTCAGAAAAGATGGGAGTCTCCTCTAAGAAGCCATGAAGCTACTGCAAGAAGCAAAGCAAATGATCCTGTACCCGTAACAAAGCAAGGTGAGTGTTTCTGCTGGTTAAAGGTCCCTGCAAATAACCCAGCATTCAGAGGCTGATGTGCGATCTGAAACTGCCACATCTAACCAGCATTCTGATTTGGGAGGAGGGTTTAATCATGTAGTGTTCCACCTGCAACCTGGGGTCGTGTTTTTAGGGAGTTCTACTTTCTCCGTTAGTAGAGGAAGGTATCCTGGTATGGGTTGTGCTGCCTCCTTTCCCCATGGGCAAGGCTTATGTTGGTGCTCGACCCCACCCTCCAGGCCCTCTGTTCTCCATGGACAGATAATTTTCCACAGCTCTTTCACCTTGTTTAGGAAAAAAAACAGGAGAAAGTGCTGAAACACCTGAAGAAATCAGTAGCAGTTCCCTCCACCTCCCACTCAGACAGGGAACTCCCAGCAGCATCAGCTGGTGTCAAGCGACCAAGCTCTCCCCCCCCCCCCAAGTCATAACTGACAGGTCTTTGCTCCACCTGGACTTCTGCACACCCACACTGCTAAGAAGGTGCTGAAGGATGTTAAAGAGAATCTGAAGGGGGAAAGGTGCAAAGTGGAGATGTCACAGATTGAGGAACAAGGATTCCTCTTCCCCTTTCTCTCCAGGAGGAGATGAAAAAAGGAATCCAGCAGATGTAAGTGGCATTATTCTTACTAATTGGGCTCTTATTCCCCAGATCCCAAATCCACTCTCAGGTCCAGCCATCGCAGCTCTTCTACGCCCACTGGAGCATGAGGCCAGCACTTAACCCCACCTTCTGTCTCCAGGGCTAGCTGCTCTAATCTGGGAGAACCAGGTTTGAGTCCCCACTCCTCCACATGCAGCTGCTGGTGTGACCTTGGGTCACTCATAAGTTCTTTCAGAGCTGTTCTCTCAAGGGCAGTTCTTGAGAGAGGTCTCTCAGCCCCACCTACCTCATAGGGTGTCTATTGTGGGGAGGGGAAAGGAAAGGGCTTGTAAGCTGCTCTGAGACTCTGAGTAGTGAAGGGCAAGGTATAAATCCAATCTCTTCTTCTCTCTCTTCTCTGGCCATTCAGAGTCGCTGCACTCTGCCTCAGACTCTGTGGCTTAGACAGAGAAGAGAGAAAGGGGGGGTGGGGAAAAACAGCCTTTTCTGGCCCAGCCCGGATTGTCCATGTTTTCTGGGGAAGGTCACGTCCAAACCGAGTTTTGCAGGACAAGCCAGCCATGAGGCTCAGCAAGATACCTTTAGTGGGACATGCAGCAGGTGACTGGACCCATCTCCAGCTGCCAGTTCTTTTCCTCATTCCTTTGACAAGGCCCTCAGAAGCAAGTGGGCCTCCATGGGCGAAAGGAGAAGCTAACTCCAATTGAAAAAGAATGTGAAACACCCCCCCCCCCCATGAAAGCCCTGAAGGGTACTTCTAGTTGGTGCCCCAGTTGTTGCTCTTGTTTCAGGGGTGCTACTTGTCAAAGATGAGAACAACACTCCCAGAGACCAGTGACAGAAAGAATGAGTTCTGACTCAAAAAGACCACAAAGCCTCAGCCCTTGTCATCAGAGCAGGCACAGCCTCCTCTGGTTTTTCCAGAGCCTCCATCCTCTGGGCAGAAGAACTCTTACAGGATCCAGCCCCTGACCCAGTCAGGCTCAAACAAAACCGTAAAATCAAGGAGCCTCTGAATTCTCTGCAGATGCCAGTCTGGGTGCCGTGCTTGCTCGGTAGACTCCACCATTGTTATTCTCTGTAACCTATGGCTGAAATGCTGGAAGGTGGATCACTTCTTGAAGAGCAATGTTTCTATTGTTTGTTAGCAAGGAGAGAATCTTTGGGGACACATCACTGGAGACCAAGGAAAAGAAGAAAGCAATGCCATCTTTTCTTCCAAAAATGACAACAACACATCCAACAGTTCAGGCCAAAGTTCCTTTCACGACCCCAGGGGATCTTTCCAGCTTAAACGATTTCAGGTTCCATGAGCCAGCCTGGAACAGATCACAACTCTCCTTCAAGCCTACCTCCATGTATGAGGGCCCTCAGCCAAAAAACTGGAAAGAAGCCCTTCAGTTACCAATGCCGCAGTAGGAGGCTAACTCCAAGCCTTCACCTTTGCTTGGTTTCATTCCACCCAGGACATGTAGGTACTCCAGACTATCAGCCACCACCCAAGGAACAGGTTTCTGCTTTCCCCAAGATCCACCAAGCTATCATTTACCTGCTGCTGATCCAAGCCATAGAACCAGTACTGGAGAAGGAATAGTTTTTCAGGATCTACTCTATCTTATTTGTCATGCCCAAGGAAAATGGTGATTGGAGGGCAATTCTGGAACTAAAATACCTTAGCAGGCTTGTGAGGAGGAGGAGATTTTACATGGAGACCCTTTGACCATAGTAGAGGCTAACTTACATGTACCCATACATCATGGCTTCAGATAGTACCTTTGCTTTGCACAAAATCACCCACACTTTCAGTACAGGGTACTCTTAGATGGGCAATCCTCTTCCCCTTGTGTCTTCACCAAGTTCACAGTCACAGTATTGGCCCATCTCAAGATGCAGGGCACGCATGTCTACCCATACAGGGATGGCCTTCTAATTAGGTCACCAACCAGATTACGGGGTCTCTGGGACACCCAAACAACACAAAAAGTGAGAAAGGAGGGAGGGGGACTCATCCCACGATCTAGCTGTGATATATAAAGGCCAAGCTATCAAAATAAGTTATTATAAAAATACAAATATTTGTTATGGTGTGCACATTAGTAAAAGATAAAATAGGTTAAAAGAAATTATCCCAATCTCAGTCTCTTAAAAGTTTTTACATACAGAGCTGTTAGTTTCACAGATACAGTTGATGGGTATATCTTATGACCAATAGACCATAAGTGTTTCAGCCCCCCGGGGTCTTCCTCAGTGGTCAATATTACTATTATAAAACAATACACATCCAGAAATAAATATATGAAAAAAAGATTTACTTTAAAGCCAGGCGTTGCTTTGTCATATGATGTGCAGTTCTTAGAAGGTTACTCAGCAGGCCATAGTTATTCTCTCATGGTAACTGTACACGGTCTTCAAATTGTTCTGGTACCAAATTTCCAATGTGTCTGGATGTGTGTCTCTTCCATCAAAGGTAGTAATCAGCTTAGTTACTGGACAACCTCTTTGTAGACACAGCCATATAAAGTGTTTCTTAAGCAGAGCAGCCTTCTCCAGTCCTCCCATTCAGCATTGTTTCCCTTTGTGGGATCTCCACAAGGTGGTAAGAGTTCAGTGGAAACCTATATTTGAATCCTTGAGGTCAATTGTACTGAGAATTCTGCCTTTCAGAGTAGCCTTTCTCGTAGCCATAACTTCAGCCAGGATTTCAGAACTTGCTGCTGTTTTGATTTGGTGACCTTGCAAGCCAACCCCTGCTTTATGCCAGAAGTTAACTCTTTGTTCCACAGGGATCAAAAGATTGTCTTCCTTCATTCTGTTCTCATCCCAGCCATTCTAAGGAATGTGATAGGCACAGATTAGTTGTCTGGAGGGCCGTCCTTATCTTCATTAAGAGGACAGCAGCTTTCAGATCTTGGGTTGCCTTGTTTATCTCTTTCTTACTCAATACTGTGGAGAAGAACTGTAGCCCAGTCAATCATAGAGTTGAAAGTCCCACCCCCTGCTCAGTGCAGGATTGGCCTAAAATATCCCTGACCAGCGTTCATCCAACTGCTGCTTGACGACCGCCAGTGAGGGGGAGCTCACCAACTCCCTAGGCAGCCAATTCCACTGCTGAACTACTCTTACTGTAAGCATGCATTTCCCTGGTTTGTGACATTCAGTATTTTCTGCTGCCCTCAGCAATCACTGCCCATTCTGCAAGAGCAACCACTACTTCTGCAGCCCTTGGTACCCATGTATCCATTGCAGAAATCTGTAGGGCAGCTATCTGGGCATCGGCTTCTGCCTTTTGTGAGGCAGTACAGAATAGACACACTTGCCTACTCTGAAGTGGTATTCGGCGGAAGAGTCCTCCAAAAGGTAGTTCCTCAGTTATTCCTCTCCTTTCCTCTCTGTTTTCCCACCTGGAACAATAGAACTTCTCAAGAATCACATACAAGAATACCTTCCTCCATTGATAGAGAATGAAATACTGAACTTATCATGAGGGTTTCTTCTCATCAGTGGATTGGAAGGTATCCTGCCTCGCCCTGGCTGGCAGAGGACAAATTGGAGAGGAACTTGCTGTATAAACAGAAAGACGGTCTGGGGTTTCTCTGCTCTGTACAGCGTCTCCAGTTACAGATCTCCAGGGAGAAGTTGCTGTTTGTGATTGTAACAGGTGGATGTCTTCCTCAGAAGTTTGGCAAATCATGAATGGGGAGAGCAGAGCCTCCCCAGGATAGTGGAAGCCTTTGCTAAATAAATAAATAATTGCCTGCCTGCAGAGCACAAGGAAGCAACCCATACAAGGATACCTTCCAATCCACTGATGAAAAGAAACCCTCACAGTAAGTCCAGTGTTTCGATCTCTGGGTATTAGTTGTGTGAAGTAGGTCAAGGACAGCGCTGCACAGCATGACCACTAAGCTAGATGCAGTCCAGTGGCTTAGTATTGTGACCTGCCAGATGTTTGACAGCAACCCCCCCCCCCAGCAGGCAGTAGAAACAGGAGATTTTTCAAGACCGGGTAGATCCAGCATATGTACTTGCTGGCTGTATTTGGCTTGCTGAATTGTAAGGTCCGCTGTAAGCACCACAGACTGGACTTTAATTCATTTCATGAGCTGCTGTAGCAATAAACGTGTGACTGGCTGCTCTCATTTTTACAAAGTCCTGATTTGTTTTTCTTAAAATTCCAGTGCCTACAGTCGCTACCACCGAACAAGCAAATAAGCTGAAGCTAGAAGGAAATGAACTTGTGAAAAAGGGCAACTATAAGAAAGCTATCGAAAAGTACACAGAGAGCTTAAAACTGCACAAGCTGGAATGCACTACTTACACTAACAGGTAATGCTCAGATAATCATATTGTCACACAATGTTTCCTTCTCCACCCTGGGCAGTCTGTTCAAGGAATTGGACCACAGTGTCGGGAAACCTGTTTTGATTGCCAGTTATAAACTTGTCCAGTGGGTAGAAGACACTAGCAGGAGTGTGTGTTCATTCATGGACCCCTTACACTATCCTTCTCTTAAATTTAACCCAATTAGGACTAAGGGGGGCGTTGAAAAATAAAATGAAAGAGATGAGAGTAGGGTTGCCAACCCCTCAGTCAGGGCAGAGGATCCTCAGTTTCCCTTTCCTGACACTGCTCAGAGCAGTGGTGGGAGAAAAATGAAACAAATAAATGGCCTTTGGGCAGGAAAACCTAGAAGTGATGCCAAGCCTCTCTAGAAATCACTGAAAACTTGGTTTTATCATAGAGTTTCTGGCAATTCAGAGGGTCCAGTTTTCCCCAGAAGTGACATCCTGCTGTCACTTCCCCAGGTACCTGCCCCCCCCCCCAGTCTCCCACTGGTTGCAAGGGTGGGCCTGGCAATCTTAAATGAGCGGCTTACAATCCCTTTCCCTCCCCACAGCAGACACCCTGTGAGGTGAGTGGGGCTGAGAGAGCTCAAGAACTGCCCTTGAGAGAACAGCTTTGAAAGAACTTATGACTGACCCAAGGTCACACCAGCAGCTGCATGTGGAGGAGTGGGGAATCAAAACCTGGTTCTCCCAGATTAGAGTCCGCACTCTTAACCACTACACCAAACTGGTTCTCTATGAATGCTTCTTATTTCTCATACAGTGCTTGCCTGCCTTTTCATAATGCTGTTCCTATTTCTCTTACCCTAAAAAATCCTCCCTTTCTCCATTAAAAGTGCAATTATAGATGAATGACATGTATTAAAAGAATTAAGAACAAGAACTTTTTCAAAAACATAGGAAGATTTAAGAAATCATAATTAGCGAAATAGCTCACCACATCATCTGTAATGTAATTATGGGACCAGTGCATACTAAAAACTCATAGAAAGGGCACACTCCTAACTTCCACTGGTGTCCCTTTTTAGAGGGTACAAGCAATAACAGAGACTGCATGGGTAGTCATGCAGTCTGATGCAATGGTGTCATAACCAAAGAATATTGTTGCCATCCAACATTTGGAGCAATGCAACCGGTCCAGTTCTTACCAGGAAAAATGGTCCTTCAGCTATATCATGCCCTGCAAAAGCCACAACTCTTGTTCATATGACATTTGGAGGCTGGGGTAAGCCAAGCCAGCAGAGAGAGTTTGTAGTGGGCCTTCTGGAAATGGATGGAGAGCCTGATTGTTCCCAGTTTTGGTCTGAGGCCTATTTATATAGCTCAGTAGTTTAGGAGCCTCTTTACTACGAGACATTCCTGCAGTGTGGCAGTGCCCAGTTCCATCAGCAGCCCTTCCCTTGGAGAAGCATGTACAACAGATGACCTTGGAGTTTCGGCATTACTTGGCCAATGGAGAACATGCTGCAGAGGCAACACTGAAACCAGCTCTTGAATCCTGGCCAATAATCCGGCATGACCTTAGATTAAAGCAGGTAGATAAATCGATTCTGGTACTCCAACTGCTCTGCATCACAGGGGAAGAAAATGGGACCTCTTCCTGCCAGTTCTGACTGTACGTGGCACGTGAATCTTCCATGCAGCAACTGAGATCGGGGAATGACTGGAAGACACCACTGTTAATAGAGGGCTTCCAGTGTCTCAGCTTTAGAAGGGGCTCTGTTTCATTAAAACTTTTCCTGCAGTTTGCCAGTGAAGCACCCTGTTGCTGTATCCACAAAATGAGTGGGCTCCTCAAACAGAAGGATTTCCATCTGTGAAGCTTGGCCTTCTCACTTCCCCCTCCTGCTGCAGCCCAAATTGCCCCCTGAAATGCTACTTCTGGAGGAGAGGAAACACCCAGAAGCAGCATTGCAGGAGATTTTGGGGGCTGCAGTGGTGAGGAGGAGGCAAGAATGTGATGCTCCACGGACAGAAATCTTTCCATCCCCAGAAACACTTGGTTGAATCTAAGCCAATGTTTATCTGCTTGCTTAGCAGTGAGTATCCTCTGGGAAGAGCAGCAGAGGGAATCACATTGACTCTGTTGAACCCTATATGAACAAATAACCTGCCTGAACTCCTTAAGGCAGTGCAGCCTCAGGGAAGCCAATTCCTGTGTGGCTTTGAAACAGATTCTTTCCTTTAGTCAGATTCTTTGCTTTGGTAAAGTATCCTTACGCTGCCTCATCACAGTATATTACTAGTTCTATGCATGGTTCTGCCAATGCTGCTGCTCTGCAGGAGCACTAGTTGTGAAACTAGGTGTAAATGCAGCTTCTTGAACATTAGTTTTCATTTATTTACTCAAATTTCTGGCCTTCATGATTGAGAAAATACACATACAGGC